TCCCAGAGACTGAGTTGTGACAAAACAAAATAAGTAGAAAAATGTCTCTCTCTTTTTTTGGTTCAAAGAAGAAAATGTCTATGCTGAAGTCAAATGTCAAAACAGTGACTCAGTGAGATTGTGATGTATGTCAGAATCGTTAGGCGAAATAGCACGAGTTTGAAACTAAAGAACCCTAAAGTTTTACTTTTTTTTTGTTTTGGGGAAAAAAAATGTTGGAGAAGAGGAAAGAGAATTTTAATAGTAAAATCTTAAAAACAATTTCTTGAAGATGACAAAAAGTGTTCACATGTCTTCTTCTTCTTCCTCCTCCTCATTTCCCTTTCTCCCGCCGACTTTCCACTGGTACTTCTCTCCATTTTTCTTCCCTTTTCCGTTAAAGCTCCATTTTTTATTTCTCCATTTTATTGTTTCTTACTCTGTCTCCATATGCTTCTCTCACCATTCCACAATCCCACCTTCGATTTTCCATGAAGAAGCTTAAGGTTTCTATTTTAATCTCTCTTTATTTCGAGATCTCTTGTGTTTCAATTTCTGATAGAAAAAACTTTCACTTTGATTTCGATGTTTACAGGGTCTTGGAGCTGGGCTATTGTCTGTTTGGCTATCTGGGTTTCTCTTAATCGCTCTCTCCTTCTACGGTACTCAGCTTCTTTCTCCTTCTTCCCTCGATGATCGATCTTTGTTTGCACGCGTCTCCATTTCTCCAAGAATCACCATTTTCACTGCTCTTAATGGCTCCTCCTCTTTGGAAGAAGAAAATACCAAAGCTTTACTCTGTATTCGTTCATGGCTCGCTTTGTCTTCTCAAGTCACTGTTGTGTTATTCACTCAACACATCTCTTCTTCTTCCTTCACCGACAAATTTGGTTCTCGTCTTCTTCTCGATTCCACCATTGATTTCACGTAAGCTCTGTATCTGATTCTTGCCTTGATGTGATTTACAATTCAAGATTGTGCGAGGGAATGATATGTGTTTATTTGTTTTTCAATTGTTAGGTTTCTTGGTACTCCATTTGTACACTCCATGCTGGCTAGAAGTGAAGCTTATGTATCAGATATAGCTGTTCTGATGGATCCAGAGACTGTTCTACTGCCAGATTTCGTTTCGGCTTTGAATTACGCTCACGACGTTGACCGTGATTGGCTTCTCGTTTCTTCGTCAGTGGAAATTCCCCGTTTCCCGTTCCATTGGGACGAGAAGGGACATTTCTGGCGTCAGGAGAATAGGAGAAGAGTGAGATTTGGTGAGGTATGGAAGAAAACTTGTTGTGTGTGTTGATAATGATTCTGATCCATTTTCAATCAAATTGATCGCGTTCTTCTTCGTTTTCAACAGTTGCAGAAGATGATAAGTATGCGGAGTTGGAAATCGAATTCTAGCGAAAGGAAAATGATTTTGGCATGGAATAACATGGATGTGCCCTTGCATTGTGGAGTCGTTCCACCATTTTTGTATCAAAGAGGAACTTACAATCAATGGATCGTTAACGAGGCGATGTCATGTAAACAAAGGTTTGTGTTTGATGCCACTTCGACCATATCGAGCTTTTGCCTAAGCAATGCAGAGAACAAGTATAATAGGAGTGATAATGTCTTAGAACCGCAAACAAGAAACTGGGAATATATAGGAAACTCCCGTCTCGGGCAGCTCTACGGGTCATTGTTCTTCAATGACAACAAGTCTTCTACTCTACCAAAGCTTTTGAAGTGCAACAAGCGGTATATATTTGTTAGTGCTTCAGATCGTTCCAATGATTCGTCTATACCGAAAGGAAACACTGGCTTAAATGTTGGATTTCGGACGCGTGAGAAGATCTCAGCTTGTATCAGCAGAAGTAAATCGCGAAGCTTGAAAATAGATTTTGTGCAGAACGATCAGGCATTGCCACTATTGAAGTTTCCTTTTGACCTTGAGTCTCTTCTCCCATTAGTTGCAGACAAGAACAGAACTGTTGTTCTTTCAATTGCTGGGTATAGCTATAAGGACATGCTTATGAGTTGGGTCTGCAGGTTACGCCGCCTCGCAGTTTCAAATTTCTTAGTGTGTGCCCTTGATGATGAAACTTATCAGTTTTCTATATTGCAGGTATAAAGTCTCTTGCTTCTCCTTCTTACCATATCGAACGATCATAGGTTCATATAGAGAGTTTATAATCGGTTAGTCTCGTGTTCTATATAACAGGGTCTGCCAGTTTTCGTTGATCCATACGCCCCGAAGAACATTAGCTTCAATGATTGCCACTTTGGATCGAAGTGTTTCCAGAAAGTGACCAAAGTTAAGTCAAGAACAGTTTTGAAGATACTGAAGCTGGGCTATAACGTTCTCTTGAGCGATGTAGATGTGTATTGGTTCAGAAACCCGTTGCCTCTGCTTCACTCTTTCGGTCCTTCTGTTCTCGCCGCACAATCCGACGAATACAACACAACAGGTGATATGATGAAATGATCATCTTGGACCAACCTTGTCCTAAAAAATACTAATGAAAATTGGGTTTTGTTTTGATTTTGCAGCACCGATAAACCGACCAAGACGCTTGAATTCGGGATTCTACTTTGCACGTTCTGATGAACCGACAATAGCAGCAATGGAGAAAGTGGTGAAGCATGCTGCAACCTCAGACCTATCGGAGCAGCCAAGCTTCTACGATACATTATGTGGAGAAGGCGGAATTCATCGCTTGCGAGACGATAGATGCGTTGAGCCAGAGACAAACCTGACCGTTCAATTCTTGAACAGAGACTTGTTCCCGAACGGAGCTTATGGAGATCTATGGCTGAAGAAAGATGTTAGAGCAGAGTGTGAGAAGAAGCATTGCTTCGTGCTACACAACAACTGGATCAGTGGGAGATTGAAGAAACTCGAACGCCAAATGATGAAAGGTCTATGGGAATATGATGCATCCATGAGGATGTGTGTGTTGAGATAATTACTAGTAAGGTTATTATACAAGTCAGATGCGACATGCAAAGGCTAATTAGTTTTGGATATAGTTATACAAAATGTGTGTATTTATTAGATTATTTTACGAAATAGATTTAGGAATAATGAACATGTAAACTGCAAATTATTGTTGGCAGAGATTAAAGATTATAAATTTATAATATCGATTTATGATATTGTCTTAGGTCTAAAGACATGAGGATAGGCAGTAAACTACGGTTTGGTAATGCGCGGTCACTGTTTTGGTAATCATAATTCACAACAAATCTATTGACAGACCTGATTCTTCAAGTACCCAAACCGAACTATTGGGTTCCCATCATTTTCTCATACATGATACTGCCAAATTATTAGAATGTTAAAATATCTCAGAAAAAATTGAGACATTTT